AAACTTTTGGTTGAATCTCCAACTTTTTGTTGACACTTTAAGTTTTTGGTTGACTGTCTAAGTTTTTGGTTGACTGTCTAAGATTTTGGTTGACTGTCTAAGTTTTTGGTTGACTGTCTAAGTTTTTGGTTGACTGTCTAAGATTTTGGTTGACTTTCTAAGATTTTGGTTGAACTCAAAAAAGATTTGAACTCAGAAATCACAAACTAGGGTAGTGGCACAGGCAGGGAGTAGAGAAGCCAAGCTTGTGATCAGAAGGTAGCCAGTTCAACTCCAGGTGGGTTTCCATGTTGCATGTTTGTGCACATGTGTGATTGGTTAAATGCAGAGATTTAAAAGGTGACCTATTTTGCAAAATTCACTTTTTAAAAGTTTTTTACTCAACTTTGGGTGTCTACTTCTTAAGAAAACAGTCCTAGGACCAAAAAATGCACCCAGGGGCATATTTACTGTAAGTAAATGCATTTTAATGTATATTAATGACAAGTTTTATACTTCCTACATTTTGTGATGTCACAAGCTGTACGACAACCCACCAGAACCTGTGTTCAGCCCCTTACTTAGCAAACCCCGGGTGAAGCTCCTCCTCCTCAGTATAAAAAGCCGTCACGGTGTTGTTGTGTAATGTGCAGCTCATTTTATAACAAGCCTCCTATAGCACAGTGGGTAGAGTGTTGGATCAGAGGGTAGTAGACATAGGGATCAAGACTGACATGGACACAAAGAATTAAATTTTTTATTTTTGTTTGTTATGTACATGTTTTCTCATGTACATCCATTGTTTAGCTTATTAAAGCCTTGTTAAAGCCTATTTGCCCAAGTTGAGCAAAAAAAAACCTTTAAAAAGTGAATTTTGCATAATAGGTCTCTTTTAAGTCTCTGCATTTAACCTATCACACATGTGAACACACATGCAACATGTAGACCAACCTGSAGTTGAACCGGCTACCTTCTTATCACAAGCTTGGCTTCTCTACTCTCTGCGCCACTACCCTAGATTGTGATTTCTGAGTTCAAATCTTTTTTGAGTTCAACCAAAAACTTAGACAGTCAACCAAAAACTTAAAGCGTCAACCAAAAACTTAAGACAGTCAACCAAAAATTTGAGATTCAACCAAAAGTTTCTGTTTTACAAAAAATGTTTTGATTTTTTTTTTTTTGATTGAAATT